CCCCCGGAATTACGACATCTTAAATATGGACAGACACAAGATCTAGATCTCGACAACACATAGATCGGCGCGAAAGACTGGGTCGAGTGAACTCTGGAGCAAGATTAGGAGTGCTGCCTTCGGCAGCAATGACTTGATAATTTCTTTTATAGAATTTTGGTAACTTGCTCCCTTTTCAAGATATTCAACTCTGTTTCATATGCAAATATCACCGGTGTGACATCACATCACATAATGAGTTTTCAGAAAAGTATAGTTTTCTTGACGAATATACGTATCTAAAAAATTAATACATATACAATTGCCCTTGTATATGTATTAATTTCATAACTGGTAATTACCCCTCTGTATTTGTTTGTAAAAATATTTTATCAAGGTAAAATTTTGCGTTTTCAAAATGTCATTATGCGATGTGATGTCACACCAGTGATATTTGCGTATGAAACAAAGTTGAATATCTTGCAAAGGAAGCAAGTTACCAAAATTCTATAAAAGAAATTATTAAGTCATTTTAAGTGATCTTTACAATGCAATCATAAAAATTTCGTGTCATAGGCAATAAACTGTGTTTATCCTAATCCACCCTGTCAACTTTCCCTGCGGGAAGAAACCGGAGCACCCGGAGGTGAAAGGCTCTTGTTCTGAGTGACGACTATGCAAGTGAAGCCCCAAACACAATGGTTACTGATTGGGTGTGGCCGCCCCCAGCTAGAAACACATACATGCTTGACAACTGAAGCATTGATCAAACGAAAATGAGAGTTGTCAGGTGAGAGTTTGCATAAGAGTTCTCTCAACTCTCATCTCAAACGGGAACAAGAGTTGCATGAACATTTCATGACCGCTAAAGCTTTGATAACAGTATTGCGTTGCTGTTGCACAAGGTGGCTACACCTGCAATATTTCACCCGCAATATACGTCTTTGTAACGCTTTTCATTGGCTGGTCAAGAAACGTGTCAATCATCAATTTTGACCTTCCTTGACCACACCTCCCAATTTTCGGCAATCATTGCCAAAAATCAAATGATTTGAAATTTCAGCAATGATTGCATGAAGCTTTGCGCTGCCGTCGCAGAGCATGATACACGAGCAATTTCTATTGCGCGACGGCAATGCACGTATACTACGGTTTCCTTATGTATAGTACGGCTTTGATCTGATATATGGAGATACGTGTTGTGTAAAAACTAAAATGTACTCCTTTATTGGAGTTAAATCGACTCCAAGCGGAGTAAATTTTGAAATACATGCCGAGGTAGAGTAGTTTTAAATCCATTTTTGGTGTAGATTTAAGTCCAAAATTTTTACTCCCCCAAAGGGAGTGGTTTTAACTAGTGGGGTTAAAATAACAACTGGAGTTAAAATTAACAGGGAGTTAAAATTAACAGTGAGTTATGCATGCAGCTTATTAGAGAAGATCTAATCGAGTTTAAAAGAACAATGCAGTATAATTCTAAATTAAAAAAAGATATCGTACCATTCAATAGGAGCACACTGTTTCTCCAAGATATCTTTAGAAGTCGACCAACTAAATCTTACGAACTGTGGGAATCCAAAAACCTTGTCAACTATATCGGCCAACCATTTCTTGGTCGCTGGATCTAAATGGTACACGTTTTGCATAACTTGATAGCGTCATGTCTCAAGTAAAACTATGGAGTTTCGAATCAAAGGTTCCTTCTATTTTTCTTTTATCCTTTGCCTCTGCTGTTTTACACTTTTCTGGTATACCTGTGCCTTTCGCGCGCCAGTCTCAAACATTCTAAGATATTTAGCTTAAAAAAATAGTATAAACGACAAACTACTGATTGCAAATTAATTTACCGCTCGCAGTATCGTAAACTGCAAATGAGCATTTGGGTATACAAGTTTTAGAGAATGAAAGAGAAAACACTTCTCTAGTATAAAACATTTTGCGAGCATGAATAAATTGCAGTTTAAGTAATAATATAGTAACCTTTTCAATACTGCATGTGATACGCATCGGAAGACCAAAAACAACAAGAAAAAAGAAGTGTTCGGTAAAAGATATTGATACTCGATATGAAATAATATCTTCTTCGCATGAACGCGTTAATGCAAATTATACCTGAGGGGTAGCCACACCCGTATGCCGTTGGAAAGGAAACTTTTTCAATAAATGTCCAGGTTTGGATAACTCTGTCTCTTGCAACCTAAAACACAAACGTTTTTTAGTAACAACGTAAAGAAAACCCCAAACTGACGAGGGAGAAACTTGACAAGCGAGAGTTTGTATGAGAGTTTTCTCAACTCTCATGCCCCGGTCAAACGAGAACGAGCGTTGCATGAGAGTTGAGAAGCGAGAGTTTGCATGAGAGTTTTCTCAACTCTCATGCCCCGGGTCAAACGAGAACGAGAGTTGCATGAGAGTTGAGAAGCGAGAGTTTGTATGAGAGTTTTCTCAACTCTCATGCCC